GGGTTTGAACCGCCAGCCTCCTGGTTAGCAGGCAAGTGCCTTAGGCACTACACTACCACAGCTCCCCTCCAGGGACTAGTCCCTCCTGAAAACAAAACTACAGAATCTGAGACAAAGTCTCACCATCCTCACTTCTAAGACATCTTCCAAGACTTGTTTGTTTTTCTGGCAGTCCATGGTATATTTGATCTTGTTTGCCAACATCACAATTCAAATGAATCAGTTCTACTTAGGTATTTATTCATTGTCCAGCTTCCACGTGTACCTGAGGCAAATGAAAACACCCTGCCTTAGGTCAGATGCACCTTCCTCAAGGTGACATCTTTGCTTTTTAACACTTTCAAGAGGTCTTTTTCTATACATGTGCCCAATGCAATGTATCGTTTCATTTTCTGACTGCTGCTTCCATTGGTGTTGATTGTGGATCCAAGCAAAATGAAATCCATAACAACTACAATCTTTTCTCCATTTATCATGATGTTGCTCACTGGTCCAGTAGTGAGGATTTTTGTTTTCTTTATGTTGAGGTGCAATCCATACAGAAGACTGTAGTCTTTGATCTTCATCAGTAAGTGTTTCAAGGCCTCTTCACTTTTAGCAAGCAAGGTTGTACCATTTGCATATCACATTGTTTAAAGGAGTCTTCCTCCAAACCCGATGCCACATTCTTCTTCACATAGTGTAGCTTCTTGGATTATTTGCTCAGCATACAGACTGAATAAGTATGGTGAAAGGACACAACCCTGAAGCACAATGTTCCTGATTTTACACTACGCAGTATCCCCTTGTTCTGTTCAAACAACTGCCTCTTGCTCTATGTATAGGCTCTGCAGGAGCACCATTAAAAGTACTGGAATTCCCATGCTTTGAAATGTAATAGACTATTTTCTATGATCCACATAGTTGAATGCCTTTGTATTGTTGATAAAACATAGGTAAATTCTTCCTGGTATTCTCTGCTTACAGCTAAGATCCATCTGACATCAGCAATGATATACCTCATTACACGTCTTTTTTCTGAATACAGCTTGAATTTCTGGCACTTCCCTGCCAAGGTACTGCTGCAATGTATGGTGTTTTAATTATCTTCAGCAAAATTTTGCTTGCATGTGATTAATGATAGCTAGATAATTTCCACATTCCATTGGATCACCTTTTTGAAATGGGCACAGATATGGATCTCCACTAGTCAGTAGGCCGAGTAGCCATCTTGTGAATTTCTTAGCACAGGCGAGTGTGCATTTCCAGTATTGCATCTGTTTGTTGAAACATTTCAACTGATATTTTATCAATTCCTACAGGCCTGTTTTTCATCAGTACCTTCAGTACCATTGGTTCTTTATCATATTCTATCTCCTGAAATGGTTGAATGTCAGTTAATTCTTTTTGGTACAGTGACTCGTTGTATTTTCTCAATGCTTCCTGTGTAGTACAATTTATTGCCCAGAGAATCCTTCAATATTGCAACTTGAGGCTTGAATTATTTCTTCAGTTCTTTCAGATTTAGAAATGCTGACCATGTTCTTCCCTTTTGGTTCTCTAACGGGTCTTTGCACATTTCATTATAATAGTTCACTTTGTCTTTTTGAGCTGCCCTTTGAAGTATCCTGTTCAGATTTTTCACTCCATCACGCAAGTTTCAGTCTCTTCTGGTATCCAGTTGAGTCTTCTTTTCCTTTCCTGTATTTTCAATTACCTTTTTCTTTCTTAATGTATGATGTCCTTGATGTCATTTCTTAACTTGCCTGGTCTTCAGTCATTAGTATTTAATACATCAAATCTATTCTTGAGATGGTCTCTAAATTCAGGTGATGAGATATACTCAAGGTTGTACTTTGGCTCTCCTGGACTTCTTTTCATTTTCTTCAGCTTCAATTTGAACTTGCATAGGAGCAATTGATGGTCTGTTCCACAGTCAGCCCCTGCCTTGCTTGGACTGATGTTATTGGGCTTTTTTATTGTCTCCTTCCACAGATGTAGTCAATTTGATTCTTGTGAGATCAATCTAGTGAGGTTCATGTGTATAGTCACCATTTATATTGTTGAAAAATGGTATTTGCAATGAATAAGTCACCAGTCTTGCAAAACTCTATCATGTGATCTCCATGTCATTTCTATCACCAAGGCCACATATTGCAACTAACGATCCTTCTTTGTTTCCAACTTTCACATTCCAATCATCAATAATTACCAATGCATCTTGAAGATACAGTCACAGAAATAGCTTCCATCCCTCACCTCTTACTCTCTCACAAATACTTTAAGTTTTTCCATCAGTTGACTGTTTTTAAAAAATATAAACATGTATGTATGATGTATTATATCCCTTCTTAAAGCATACCATATACACTGTTTTGTATCTTGCTCTTTTCACTTGATACCATATTATAGTAATCCATCTAGAGAAAAAGCTGTCATATTATATGTAGGTATTCCCCATTTCTATTTACAGTTACATAGCAGTCCTTTGTGTGGATGTAACCCAGGTTTTTCAACTAGTCCTCTAAGAATAGAAATTTAGGCTGTTACCAGTCTTTTGATATTTCTAATCAGGTTACAACAAATACCATTGTACCCGTGGTGGTGGTGGAGGTGGTGGTGGTGGTGGTGATGGCGACTCATAGCAACCCCTCCTTGGGTTTCCGAGGCAGTATCACTATGGAAGTAGATTACCTAACCTTCTTTCCAAGGAGTGGCTGGTGGGTTTGAACCACCAGCATTCTGGTTAGCAGTCAAGTGCTTTAGGTACTACACCACCAGAGCTCCCATTGTACATACAATATCTTACATTCTTGCTAGTATATCTTTGAAATATATTCTGAGAAATAGGATGGTTAGTTCAAAGGGTAAATGCATTTGTAATTTTCTTAGATATTGCCAAATTCCTCTCCCCAGGGGCTATGCCAATCTGCATTTCCTCTAACAACAAAAGATGTAGTACCGATCTTCACCAACAGACTATGTCGTCAAACTTTCAGATTTCTACTAAGATTTCTAATCTAAGGTATGAGAAATCATATCACAGCGTAGTTGTAGTTGGCATTTTTCTTAATATTAGCAAGGCTAGCATCTTTTCAAATGGTTAAGGGCCATTCCCATTTCTCTTTTAGTGAACTCTGTCCACATCTCTTGCCCATTTTTATTTGGGGTTGTTAAATGGTTTCTGCAGTGTGGTAAAGGTTCTGTGTCAACTTATCTGGGCAGCTGGATGTGGTTATTCCTCATGATGAGATTGTAATCACCTCCATGATGGAATCTGCTGTGAGCAGATCTGGGGTGTGGCCTGCTTCCAGTATTTAAGGAGAAGTTTTAAGGAAGGTCACTAGCTTTTGGGCACATCGGGATCCTGCATTTGAGTCTTCATCTCATGGGCCTGCCATGGTGTCTGTCAATCCTGGGATTGTTTCTTGACTTCAACCAGGTTTGCCTTGTTGCCTGCTGATCTCAGGATTGTGCCATTCTACTGCCGACCTTGGGTTCGTCAGCCTCAGAAGCTAGTGGGTGCCTGAGTTAAGAGTCTCCTCCAGCTCCAGTGGGCCTGGAGCAAGAGGCAGAACTGACGTCCAAGGTCAAGGAGCCTTCACCCAGCTCCTAGAGCTGGCACTCTGAATTTGGACTTCTAGCCTCCTAAACTGTAAGAGAATAAATTCCTATTTATCAAGCCATCCATTTGTGGTATTTCTATTATGGCAACACTAGAGAACTAAGAGAGGCAGCAATCATATACTCACCACTTCTTCTGAAAACTCATGTCTTTTCACAAAACTTGATAAATTTCCTTCTACAGCATCCTTTAGTATTGCCATCAGCGTTTCCAACATATTTGCGTGGATATGGATAATTATCTGAATAAAAAGAAGAAATAATCAAATATAAGAGTGAGCCAGTATTTTCACTGATGAGAAATGCACCCCATTAGATAAGTCTGTATTTTAGAGGCACCTACCCTGCTTTGACACTATTTCCTAATTCACAGGCTTGCACAAGTTCAAACAATGTCTTGAATGTATGTCCACCAGCCAAAATTTCTTAAGAATTAACTAGAGGAAGCAAGGTAAGAGAGCAAGAGCATGGGTTTTGGAATCTGGCACACTTGGGCTGGAATCCCTGCACTGCCACTACAAGCTGTGGGACTGTGCCAGGTACTTAATCTCTGATTTTCAATTTCCTCATTTGTAAAATGGGAAAAATACCTATAGATCTATTTAGATTATTATAAATATTAAATATCAGCACACAGGAGGTACCCAACAAACATTTGTATCAGTTCTTCCTCCCCATCTCCTTTAGGCTTGAAGGTTATAATGATCAGACAATCTCGTTAAGACTGGCTATGGGGCAAATAGTTGTCGTTGTTGTTGTTAAGTGCCACCGAGTTGTCTCCAACACATAGCGACCCTATGCACAGCAGAATGAAACACTGCTCGGTCTTGTGCCAGCCTCACAATCCTTGCTATACGTGAGCCCATTGTTGCAGCCACTGTGTCAATCCATCTCATTGAGGGCTTGCCCCTTCTTCGCTGACAACAAGCATGATCTCCTTCTCCAAGGAATGGTTCCTTCTGACAACATGACCAAGGCAGGTGAGACAAAGTCTAGCCATTCTCACTTCCAAGGAGCATTCATTCCAGCTGCTCTTCTTCCAGGGCAGATTTGTTAGTCCTTTTAGCAGACCATGGTACTCTTAGCATACTTCTCCAACACTACAACTCAAAAGCATCTTCTTTGGTCTTCCTTATTCACTGTCCACCTCTCAAATGCATATGAGGTGACTGAAAAATACCATGGCTTGGGTTAGGCGCACCTTAGTCTTCAAGGAGACATCTTTGCTCTTCAGCACTTGAAAGAGGTCGTTTGGCCAGTGCAAAACATCTTTTGATGTCTTGATGGCTAGGTGTTGATTGTAGAACCAAGTAATATGAAGTCTTTGACAACTTCAATCTTTTCTCCATTTATTGTGATGCTGCTTATTGGTTCTGTTGTGAGGATTTTTGTTTTCTTTATATTGAGGTATAATCCATACTGCAGACTGTAGTCTTTAATCTTTATCAGTAAGTGCTTCAAGTCATCCTCACTTTCAGCAAGCAAAGTTGTGCCATCTGCATATCTCAGGTTGTTAATAAGCCTTCCTCCAATCCAGATGCCGCGTTCTTCTTCATATAATCTAGCGTCTCAGATTATTTGCTCGGCATACAAGTTGAATAAATATGCTGAAAGGATACAACCTTGACGCACTTCCTTCTTAATTTTAAACCATGTAGTGTCCCCTTGTTCTGTTCGAATGACAGCCTCCTGATCTATGTACAGGTTCCTAATGAGTACAATCAAGTGTTCTGGATTTCCCATTTTTCTATAATTTGTTATGATCCACATAATTGAATGCTTTTGCATAGTCAATAAAACATAAGTAAAGATCTTTCTGGTATTCTCTGCTTTCCGCTAAGATCCATCTGACATCAGCAATGCTATCCCTCATTCTACATCCTCTTCTGAATCCAGCTTGCATTTCTGGAAGTTCTTTGTCAATATACCACTGCAACCATTTTTGAATTATCTTTAGTAAGATTTTACTTGCATGTGATATTAATAATATTGTTCGATACATTCCACATTCTGTGGGATCACCTTCCTTTGGAATGGGTACAAACATGGGTCTCTTCCACTCAGTTGACCAGGTAGCTCTCTTCCAATTCTCTTGGCATAGCCCAGTGAGTGCCTCCAGTGTGGCATCTGTTTGTTGACACATCTCAATGGGTATTCCTTCAATTCCTGGAGCCCTGTTCTTTGCCAATTCCTTCAGTGCAGCTTCAACTTCTTCCTTCAGTACCATTGGTTCTTGATAATATACCACCTCCTGAAATAGGTCCAGCCTTAATATAGAGCCACATTAACCAATTCTTTTGGATACAGTGACTCTTTATTCCTTCCATCTTCTTTTGATGTTTCCTGCAGCATTCAATATTTTGCCCAAAAAATCGTCAATATTGCAATTCAAGACTTAAATCTTTTCTTTAGTTCCTTCAGCTTGAGAAATGTGAATGTGTTCTCCCCTTTTGGTTTTCTATCTCCATGTCTTTTCACATTTCATTACAGTAATCGGCTTTGTCTGTTCGAGCTGCTCTTATAAATCTTCTGTTCAGGTATTCTATCTTGTCATTTCTTCCATTTGCTTTAGCTACTCTCTGCCCAAGGGCAAGTTTCAGAGTCTTTTCTGACATCCATTTTGGTCTTTTCTTCCTTTCCTGTCTTTTTAATGACCTCTTGCTTTCTTCATGGGTGATGATATTGATGTCATCCCACAATTCCTCTGGTTTTCGGTCATTAGTGTTCAATGCAGCAAATCTATTCTTTAAATGGTCTCTAAATTCAGGAGGGATATCATCAAGGTCATATTTTGGCTCTCATGAACTTCTTTTAATTGTCTTCAACTTCACCTTGAATGTGCATATGAGCAGTTGATGGTCTGTTCCACAATCCACTCCTGGCCTTGCTCTGGTTGACAATATTAAACTTCTCCATCGCCTCTTGTCACAGATGCAGTCAATCTCATTTCTGTCCATTCCATTTGGTGAAGTTTATGTATATAGCAATTGCTTATGTTGTTGAAAAAGTTATTTGCAATGAATAAGTCATTGGTCTTGCAAAATTCTATCATGTGACCTCCAGCATTAGTTCTATCACCAAGGCCATATTTTCCAACTACTGGTAACTCTTCTTTGTTTCCAACTTTTGCATTCCAGGCACCAGTGATAATCAACACCTCTTGCTTGCATGTTTGGTCAATTTCAGACTGCAGAAGTTGGTAGAAGTCTTCAATTTCCTCATCTTTGGCTTTGGTGGTTGGTGCGTAAATTTGAGTAATAGTAGTATTAACTGGTCTTCCTTGTAGGTATATAGATATTATCCTATCAGTGACAGTGTTGTACTTCAGAACATATTTTGAAATACTCTTTGTGATGGTGAATGCCACACCATTCCTCTTCAATTTGTCATTCCTGGCATAGTAGATCAAATAGCTGTCTGATTGAAAATGCCCAAAGCAGTCCATTTCAGCTCACTAATGCCTAAGACATTGATCTTTATGTGTTCCACTTCATTTTTGACAACTTCCAGTTCTCGTAGATTCATACTTCATACATTCCACCCCAAAATGAAAAGCAGTCTCCAAGCCTGGGCCCGCCTACCTCAGTTCCCAGCCTTACTAAAAAGCCACCCCAAGCAAAAAGCAGCCCGCAGCCCCAGGCCCACCTACCTCGGGGTCCAGCCTTAATATAGAGCCACATCCAAGCAAAAAGCAGCCTCCAAGTCTCGGGGAATAATTGGGCAAATAGTACCTTACAAATTTTTTTTGGAGGGTCGGGGTTAAGAAATTGCAGGCACATAGGTTGTGCTGGCATAAAGTGGAAGGTGGTTGAAATCTCAATGAGACATTTCTACTTGTGCTATGTGTTTTCAGAAACTTTCAAAACTAGATCCCATACTGTGCTTTTGAAAATGACACCACTGACTACTTTCCATCAGATAGGCACAACACTCACACACACACACACACAAACAACAATGCATTTCCCTCCTGATTACCAATGTTCACTATATTTGAAAAATATAAAGAGGCTTAACGAAAATAATTGCAAAAATTAGAATAACTCAAAATTTACCAGGTAATGTCAAGCATTGTTTATAATTTGCTAAAATATCTTCCAAATATATAATTTTTCCCCAAAATTTCATCCTTTTGATTATTATACAATGAACATTTTCTCCTAGCACCGAGACATTTTAGGAAAAACTTCATTTTTAATGGTAATACACCATTTTTTATTCTATCCATCAATGTGTCTATTTTTAAAACAACTAGCTAATTTCTTATATTCGATTTCTAGAAGTGAAGTTACTCAGTTGGAGGGTATAAACAATACTAATTCAGTTGAGCAAATTGGTCTCTCCACTCGAGGGCAAGGACAAGTCGGCCCTGTTGACTGCTACATCTCCAGTGACTGGCACCCAGTAGGTACTCAATATGAAAAGGAGGGGAGTATTGAGGCCCCTAGCAATTTATAAGAATAAAGCTCCTGGAGCCCCATGATAGAAACTACTTCTAGTGATGTGGTCTCAGAAGATGTAAAATTTTCTTGATAAGTTTTCTCAACTTCTCCCCCTGTCTCCAGAGACTACCTCTAATTCAGAAGGGATTTTAAGAGTGAGGTCCAATACCTGGAAGAACACTGATGGCAGGCAATATTGGTGAGGCACGTATTGGTGAAGGGCATAAAAGGGAAAGTTCAAAGCTATCAGCCTGCCTCAAGTGTGGTTAAGGAAAGCTAAAGCAGGGCACAGCACATTGCTTTTATAGCACAAATTTCAAACAAAAGGCTAGAGAAATTGCATTATCAAGGAGCAGGAGAAAAACTGGTAAGAAAAACTACTTAAAGATCACCTACTTCCTGCCCCCAAGAGCTTCGGATGCCTCAGGAAATGAGGACAGATCACTGGGTACCTCTGATCAAAAGAAGCCCTAAAAGAAGTACAGAAATTTGCATTTGTTTATTTTCTTTATGAGTTTTCTATATTTGAAGTAGAATATCACATCAAGGTGGCTGGGTGGTACCAAGAGTTGTTGTTGTTGTTGTTGTTATGTGCCGTCAAGTCGGCCCCGACTCATAGGCACTTGATTATGAGCTGAAAGGTTGATGGTTCGAACCAACCCAGACGCACCTCTACTCAGAAAGAAGAAGAAAGGTCCTGGCAATCTGCTTCTGAAAGGTCATAACCTTGCAAACTCTATGAGGTGGTTCTAGTCTGTCATATGGGGTCACCAGGAGTCAGAATAAGCTTGATATCAACT